GACAGGAATACCAAAAATAGTTTAAGACAGTTAAACACCAGAGACTTCCACAGAAGCCAGTCTAGTTGAGGGTCTGATCACAGGCAATGGGCAGGAAGTATCTGGAACACATTCTTTATAGCCAGAGTTCCTGGCTATGCTTAATTAGAGAAGTTAATGCCCTTTCCTTTTGAACTGTGTTGACCTTTACTGCTTTGCTCTCTTTAGCCAGCGGCATGAATTTAACACTTAACCCTCTCCTGAGGTCAGGCTCTGACTCCTTGCTGTTGGAATCAGTGGTCATCTGGGTTGAGTTATTCACCAGTGTCTGACAGCCTCTTGAACTGTAGGCTGGGAGTCAGTGGGGTTCTCTTCTGTCTCCAAATCTGTGGAATCAAAGGAGTCCTCTAAGGCAGGCCCCTTGAGGATCAACCAACAGGAGCAGACTAGTACCTCTCTCAAGGAAACTAGAACATTTCCCTTTCGCAATGAGGTATTCACTGCAGCCCAATAAAGAACCCTTAGTTCCATCCCATGCCACTTTAACTAGATAAATGGGTGGGTCATGTTCACAAATTGTCATGCTTATTCACTAGAACAGAGGTCTCCAACCTTTTGGGCACCAGGGACTGGTTACGTGGAGAGAGGTTTTTCTGTGGACTGGAGGGGACGTGGCTTTGTGTGCTGCTTGCATCCTGTGGATGGGGTTTTCCTTGTTTGTGCGGACCGGTTGCTGGCATGCCCGCAATTGGTCCACGGTATTGGTCCACGCCCCGGGTGTTGGTCCACAGCCCGGGGGTTGGGGACCCCTGCCCTAGAAGACTCAGTCCACTTCTTCACAATCCATAGCCACAAGCACCTTCCAAGTAGCATTCCAAGTAGATGTTATTTGTATCACTTCTTTGGATGTCACCCATCCAACTTCCAAATCAGAGTGGATATTATTGTTTTATTTACAACATGTCTTAGCAAATTTGCACATCTTGAACTTGGTTATTCAAGTCCAAAAGTGATACTTTCTTTGTTATTATTTGTTTAATATGAATTCAAATCAAGAAAATGTTTTGAAAACTGCTGAGAGAAATTAACTTGTAGTTAAGCAATTAATTTTAAAACATTCTATGCTCTAAAGTCCAGTTTGGTCTAGTGATTAAGTACCGAGGTAAAAACCAGGAGACTGTGAGTTCTAGTCCTGTCTTCGGCACGAAAGCCAGCTGGGCAACATTGGAACAGTCACTTTCTCTCTCAGCCCACAATGTCAGGCTTGGGCAACATTGTTATTTTTCACTCCTAAAAGATTTCAATTTCTTTTTCAACTGAATTGTATGGCTTATATGTTATATAAATAGTGGAAAAAATTCTGAAGTGATTTAACTTGGTCTGATTTTTTTTACATCTCAAAAACTTGGCATTTTATCAAGGGCATGTAGACATTTTATATTCACTGTAGATCCAGAAGGCTCAAATATCCACAGCCACTTGGTCTTGCCAGATTTCAGCTAAAGGCTGTTATTCTTCATCCAGACCTGCACAGCTTCCAAAAACTGGGACAGGACATCAATAGTAGAATAGAATAGAGCTGGAAGGGACCTTGGAGGTTTTCTAGTCCAGCCCTGCTCAAGCAGGAGAATCTATACCCTCTCAGACAAGTAACTGTCTAGCCTCTTTTTAAAAATCTCCAGTGATGGAGCGCCCATGCTGGCTACTAGTTATAACTTTGTTTGCTTCTAGTTGTTTGCAGATCTGTTTTTTGATTATTTTTTCTAGGATATTCCCAGGTATTGATGTTAAACTGATTGGTCTGTAGTGTCCTGGGTCTGTTTTTTCCCCTTTCTTGAAGATGGAAACCACATCACCCCTTTTCCAATCCCCAGGCTTTCCCTGTGCTCCAGGATTTTTGAAAGATGTAGTGCAATGGTTGTGAGATAACATCTGCCAGCTCTTTCAGAACTCTGGGATGTAATCTGTCAGGCCCCGGTGATTTATATTCGTCAAGGTTGGATAGGTATTCTCTTACCATTTTCTTGCTTATTTCAATTTTTGTTTCTAATTTGTCTTTTACCGTGGTTTTTTTGGTATGTTGGGCTATGGTTTCTTTTTGTTTTCTCCTTGTTGCCATCTTCTCTCTTTAGTAAAGGGCTTTTCAACCAGTGGTACGGGTACCACCTGTGGTACATTGGCACCTGGCAGGTGGTACGCGACCATCCTAGAAAAGTGATAGCGGGGGAGGGGAATGAGCTGAACCGGTGGCAGCACCGCACAAGCCTGAGTGAGAGATGGCTGGAGCTGCAGGGCTGTCAGGGCTCAGCGGAAGCGCCAGGATCAGTGCTGCTTTCCAGCTGATCGGCGCTTATTCGGGGCTGTCAGGGCTCAGCGGAAGTGCCAGGATCAGTGCCAGGCTCCAGCTGGAGCTCGGCGCTGATCCTGGTGCTTCTGCTGAGCGCAGAAGAAGCGCCGATCAGCTGGAATGTTGCAGCATCTCCAGGGTCTTGTGATTTACATTCAGATGCTTGGCTACCGATTCATATTTATGACGGTCACAGTGTCGCAGGGTCATGTGAAGTGACCAAAACCTGCTGCAACCACACAGCAGACGGGGGGAATAAAAACCAAACACCCCCTACCCCATCCCCGCTGCTAATCCTCAACAGAAATGCTCACAACAATGAAAACCTCGGACAGGAGGAAGAGCGCCGCCGGGTGGGCAGGCAGGCAGGTGTCTTGCTCGGCTGTGGCTTGGGGGGGGCACTTTTTTCAGTGCCATTTTTTTTGTCGTCAAGTTTTTGACACCTTGCTAGGCGACTGGTGGTACTCAGATATTGCCATATCCTAAAAGTGGTACAATGGGTGAAAAGGTTGAAAAGCCCTGCTTTAGTGGACCTACAGTTTCCTTGATTTTTTTCTTGTTGTTAATATGCTGTAAGAATTTTTTTTTTATTATCCATGATTTCTGTTGCAAATTTTTGTTCACTCTGAGTCTTTGCTTTCCTGACTTCATCTTTACATGTTCTGGCTGACTGCTGATAATCGGCCTTAGTTATGTGCCCCTCTTTCCATTTTTTGTATTTGTCTTTTTTGTCTTTCAGTTTGTCTGAGAGATCTTTGTGCAGCCATGCTGGTTTCTTCTTGAATTTCTTATTGTTGTTTTTTTCTTCAGTGGTATTGTGCTGGTCTGGGCTCTTATGATCGCATTTTTGAGAGTTTTCCATGCTTCTTGGGTTGTTTTCCCCTTTAGGATTTTCATCCATGGGATCTTTCCTCGGTTCTCTCTGAGTTTGTTAAAGTCAGCTCTTTTGAAGTTCAAGACACTGGTTGGATTGTTTTCTGTTTCTAGTGTTTGTGTTATATTAAATTCCAGTATGATATGGTCACTTTCGCCCAAGGTTCTGGCAACTTCAACTCCCTCTATCACTTCTTCTCTATTAGTTAGAATTAAGTCCAGTATGGCTTTGCGTCTAGTTCCATCCTCCACCTTTTGGATGACAAAGTTGTCAGCTAAGTTGGTTAGGAATCTGTTTGATCTTCCGCTCGCTGCAGAGTTTGTCTCCCAGTTGATAGCTAGATAGTTGAAGTCTCCCATTACTATTGTGGTATACATTTGTTAACTGGTTGGCAAAGAGTTCATCTATTTCTTCTGATTGGTTGGCTGGCCTGTAATATACACCTATGGTAATGTCATTCTTTTCCTCTTTTATATTGACCCATATGCATTCTGGAGAGATTTTATCATGTGCATTTCTGTAGATATGTAATGTTCTCTTATATATAGTGCAACTCCCCCTCCTCTTTTTGTAGACCTGTTTCTTTTGAACAATTTGTATCCATCCATCAGTCCATTCCATTCATGGGTTTTGTCCCACCAGGTTTCTGTAATACCAACTATGTCATACCCCCCCTTGTGTATTATTGCTTCTAGTTCGCCCTGTTTGTTCCCCAAGCTTTGAGTATTGCTTAGTTTCCCAGGGACAGAAAGGAATAGCTGGGTTTCATCAATAGTTCACCCCATGTTGATGAATGATCTCACCCAGTGGCTTCATGATGTTAAATAGGAACGGAGAGAGCATTTATCCCTGCAGGAACCCCACATAGTAGAAATTGAAGGCAAGACTTTTAGTCAATACTGACTAATGCTGGGAAAGATTGAGGGCAATAGAAGAAGGGAACGACAGAGAATGAGATGGCTGGATGGAGTCACTGAAGCAGTAGGCATGAGCTTAAATGGACTCCAGAAGATGGTAGAGGACAGGAAGGCCTGGAGGAACATTGTCCATGGAGTCGCGATGGGTCGGACACGACTTCGCAACTAACAACAACAACATTGCAGAAAGGAAGCGAACCAACACGATACTGTACTGCCCACCCTCAATCCATGGAACCAATCCAGAAAGTTACCATGATCAAATGGTAATGAGAGCTGCCATACGTTCTAATACAATGGGTGAATAGGCAATATTCATATTTGTACAGAAATATATATTTGATGTTTATTTTGGCACTTGAAAACTAACCCTGGGTGCCTTGCTGCCTTTTCTTATCTCAGAAACTTTCTCATGTGATAAAAGACTTTCCAATTAACAGCTCATTATCATAATTAGTAAATATACCAAGATTAAGCCAAACATGCAGCATTTCTGTTGAACAAAATGATAAGTGTATACTTAACATTTCTTGGAATCTACAACATGTATTTTATGTAAGTTAACCACCCTGTAACTAGAAATAGTAGTTTCAGAAATGGCTGTTCCTTATCCAGTCTGTCTTGTAAAAGGATAATATTTCCTAATTAATTCTTTGTTTCTTGACTGTATATAATCTTTATGACAACTTTATCTGAATCTGGAAGATCTCCAGTTTGTTGATATATAAGCAGCTGAATGTTAACAGCAATTTAGTATTGAGATTTATTTATTTTTTTATAAGCACAGATGTGCAGTTATTATATGTGTTTTCCAGAGTATGTGATACCTTACTCTCTTTCCTAGAGCTACACCTGACCCTAATTTAATTTTCTTTCTTTATAGCTTTAATAGTGTGCGTCAAGGAACTCACATTTTGTTCCGAGAGTTCAACTTTGTCCAAGCTACACCCCATAATAGAACATCCTTTCTAAAGACTTTTTGGCGATGCTTTAGGACAGTGGGGAAAAATGGAGGTGAGTCTTTAATTTTTTTTCTCAATTTTTAAGCCAAAAGTGTGATAACTTTTTGTCTAGAATTTTTGAATCAGTAACTAAATCTGCCGATTTTTGCACTGGTTTTAAATATCCTTTATATATTTTTTTTCTAGACTGTGTTTTGCCTATGAGTTTGTACAGGCTACAATTAACATACAAAAGAGATTAGTAATGGAATTTTTAAAGACATGTTTACAGAATAAATCTTGTCTCATACTAGGAAAAATTAAATTTATGATTTGATTACATAAGTTAAAACCAATCTGAGAATATGTTAGGGAGTTCAATGACCAATCCAATGTAGGACCCTTTTCTGTTTTTCTCATCATATTAAATGGATACATGGATGGATGGATACACTTAGTTTAGCTCTTTCATTAAGAACTGAATGCTCCAACACTGGAAGTTTTTAAGAAGAGACTGGACAGCCATTTGTCCAAAATGGTATAGGGCAGCGGTTCTCAACCTGTGGGTCGCGACCCCATTTGGGGTCGCACGACCATTTCACGGGGGTCGCCAAACCACTCCGTCCGCCATTTTTTTTTTGCCCTTTTCCTTAGCTGTGCTACTCCCTGTGCTTGGCGGCAGCCTGAATGCACGAACTTTACCAAATGTGCCCTGCAGGAGGCGTGTGAAGAGCGCAGGC